TTTGAGTCCCAATAAAAAGGAATTAAAAAGGTTTTAACTTTGAAGTTAGCAATCGATGAGTCTGTTTTTACATTCATGTGACATAGTTATAGAGACACTCCATGCACTTTGACCATTGCATATTATTGCCATCCATCTTTTATTCACATGATATTGTAACACTATGGGCTATATGACCATAACCAACTCATGCAAAGCTGCTGGGGTGAGGTGGTTATAGCTAACTGGTTAATTATAGTTTTAGTTTGGCAGTGCTTACTTCTAATAGACTGAAGGACAGGTAGACCATGCTGTAAAATCTTCAGATTTGATGTTATGATCAGCTAGGTGTAAGACAGAGAAACATTGGGAAATGTGCGTATATATACGGAGCAGAGCACATGGTTTACTTGCCGGAGCTGGTGAATATCGAAGTGGTGCCTTGTGTTTAGCGCTATATTGTGACGGAGCTCCTTAACTCCGACTGAGTACCTCCACCAGGTAACCTTCCTCACTGCTTCTAGGGACTCTGGAACACTTGAGACCCAATTGCCAATGCTTGACTGTGGTCTCTGAGCATCACTTCCACCGGACCAGGCTGCGGATCTCTCTTTCCAGGCAGGTTTTCTTCTCTTTGCATTTGCCTCTTCTCTTCCAAGCAGGTAATGCACTGAATGCACTGCCTCCAACTACTGCCTTTACAAAGGTACTTATAACTCTCATGCCTATTTCCTTCTTAACACGTCCCCAGGATCAGGAACTAATGCAGCCAGGCAACAGGTCCAATGGAACTAACACACAATACATTATGACACTCAGGACTAGACCCTACCTACATTATATTTCTCTTACGGTGACACACTCAATTACATAAATAAAACATAATCATATGGGAAATCATACAGGCACTCACAATAATACAATAATACTATAATATTTAAATAAAGGGGCAGGTAAGACAATAACAAACAAGATATATATCCCCTGCCTGCAGAAACCATAATATGCAAATCTACCTCTCATTTGTCTGAACTAATTCCCATAACTAGAGTTGAGCGGACACCTGGATGTTCGGGTTCGGCAGGTTCGCCTGAACTTCGAAAAAAAGTCAATGGGGACACGAAGTTTTGGGCAGTAAAATGCCTCTAAAAAGGAAGTAAAATGGGGGTAAGACTAGGACAAGTGCCCTGCAAACAAATGTGGATAGGGAAATCACTTAAAATAACATAAAATACATAAAAATCTAAAATAAAGCTGAGCCATAAAATAGCACTAGATGGAATCTTTGATTTTAGCTTTGGAAGACCATAAATCAAAATCTAAAGCATGGCTTTCAGGAGGATCACCAGAATTATCCATTTGAGAGAGGGTTGGAGTGCAGGGTATTCTCTTTCATTGTTCAAACTGAGCTCAACTCCTAATGCATGGAGAAAAGGCCTTCGCAAGCCTCTGCTTTTTTGTTTGTTTGGTTTTTTTTTGGTTTTTTTTATTGGGGTAGCCCCCAAAATATTGGGACATATAAAAAAAGAAACATTTGCAGCCTGCGGTGCATTTCTTGCAGTCCTGATGCATGGAGAAATGCTCAACTCCTGATGCATGGAGAAAAGGCCTTCACAAGCCTCTGCCATTGTGTACATTTATACTAAGTGACCCATAGGATGAGGAGGCCGTGGCAGTGTAGGTGGAAACGGTGGTGGAGGAGGAGGTAGCCAACACTGTTTTTTTATTTATTTATTATTTATTTTTTGAGTCTTACAATGGCTGGGTGAGGCCGGTATAAATGTCTATTCTGCACAAGGTACAGACAAGTCTGGTGGGATCCATGCCTGGTTCATTTTAATAAACGTGAACTTGTCCACGTTAGCTGTGGACAGGCGGCTGCGCTTGTCTGTGATAACGGCCCCTCAGGGCCGTCTATAATATGAATAGGACCCTGGGCAACACATTTTCTTGGGCCCCCTGGGCCCTGCTCCTCCCACCCCCCACCTCCCAATCACGCCCAACCCGCAATCACACTGACAGACATACTGGCACATACACACACAGACAGACATATTAAAACATTTGCAGATACATACACTGACACACAAATATATACTGGCAGACATATTGAAACACATTCAGACATACTGGCACACACAGACAAGAATAAATACATACAGATTGGTGATTACTGTGTATAGTGCGCTTACAAATGTAATTGAGTTAAAAATAAGCAGCTACACACTCTAGTGGATACTCTTATCCCCACTAATTATAGTAATGAACCAAAGTGAGCTTAGTACAATCTGGATATAACGTCCAGACTCTACTAATCAAGTGAGTGGAGCACTAAAGGTATAAACTTACCCTAAAATAGGGTTAAATCTCAGATGTATATCAGTACATATAAAGGAAACAAAAAAATAAAATAAAACAGTATATAGTGTAAATCCACAGGTGGTAATGTATTTTGGTGAGAATTCAAGTAGTCAAACTCGCATTGATCAGAGCCTCAAAGGGACAGGCTCAAATCACTTGCACAGTAGTGTCGTATGGAGACACTTCACCCTTTTGACTGGAATGGATTTCCTCAAAGGAGAGAGAGAAAGGGAGACTTCCTAGTGTATTAAGTATCAACCAAAATGAAAAAATACAGTGGTTATGGTTGTGCTCACCTTTTCCTGAGCCAATGAGAATCTGGCTCTGGATGATAGACCTGGGTACCTCTAGAGGGGAGCACCTGCCCTTCTTCGGTTCAAGAATAAATACATACATACATACACACACAGATACATACACTGACAGATATACTGACACAGACAGACACAAACACTGACAGACATATTGACACACACAGACATGCTGACACACATACAGG